ATACTAAGCAGAATTTTTATTGAGTTCAGTGTATGGGAATAGAACGTCGTTTACTGAATAAGTTAACGAGCAACGTTTTTTGCCTGTTATCCCATTTGCGTGTTTTAGCATAAAACTTGAGTTCAACGTTTGAAATTTTAATACTTTTTTGTCTTAGTGTGATGGAATAACATCCATTTAGGATGTATGCAAAGTTATACTGGCACTAGAATTTTAAAAAAATTAGAAGGAAGACTATTAAATACCATAATATATTAGGTTGAGTTCTTGAGTTGGTACCTAGTAATGCAGTTTTGTTGATAGCATGATACTTCAATCACAGTTTGTTTAAAGCAATAATCATCTCGACATAATCAAACAAATTTTTGATTCGCGTATGTCTGATTTTCATACATCCTAGGTTTTATATTCCGTCAATCTTGCACCGCATACTGATGAAGAAGGATGAAGAATTTCATAGGAATGTTACTGTCCCAAATTACTGGATGTTGGTAAATGCAGAACAACATCTGAGATGTTTTTTTCTAAACTCTAAGTATTAGCGAGCTGTAGTAATTTATTGTAATTGAAAATATTAGTATACCGGGATGACGGAATTATAGGAATCTAATCAAAACCCAGAGAGGGCAGCAATCAGTAATTTGTATTTAGCGGAATTCGAATGCAATTCATATAAGAAACATATCAACAGTCAACAGTAAGTATTTTAAACAATACAGAGATAGAAATTGTCAATCACCACACGGGCACTCCTATACTAGATTCAGCTAATATGTCTACGTTTTGAGAAACTAATTGACTTTGACAGACAGTTAAGTCTACAATGTTTGTATGGTAGTGTTTCACAAATCGAACTGACTCATCCAATCTAGACAACAGGATCCCTAGACCACTAATATTTATCTTAGAGTGAATTTATTGACTTGTATCTTGCGCATTTATTTCTTCGTCATTTAGACTGTTGAATGACGATATTAGGCATACTGATAAGCTATCTAAACTTTGTTAAACTCGAATCCATACACATTCATACTATTTGTATTTCAGTGACCTGACAACATGTTTTGTAACGTCAACCAGACTTCCATACAGGCTTTCCAATGTTCTGTGCATATTTGTCATTTTATAGCAGACTGAATCACTTAGATGTATTTTTTTCGAGAACAGTAAAGTATTAGGAAAAAGTGACTAGTCATTTTTGTTGCCATTTAAAAATTAAATTAACTCCGACCAAGATTTAATATAATGGTTAGAGGGTTTCATCATGAGCTAAGATCAGTTAGAGAATCATTGGAAAACACAACTGGGAGTACTGGACAGACAGCTGTTTCGTTCTAGTTTAGGATTCCATCTCGGCAGTACGCACCCAATGGCAGGGTTCGAACCCACGACCTTCTGGTTACAAGGTGAGCTAGCTGGTGGACCATTAAACCACTGGGACCTGATGCAATAGCCAGCCAGGCAGCCAGTGCATGAATTCTAACTTCTGACTATTCAGGACATAGCGCGACCACTTCGCAATGTCTTCTTCGATGAGTTACTGCCCCACCTTCAACCTGCTGCGCCCTACTGGTGACGGGTCATGGTAAAATCCTCCAACCAATGAAACAAAATCTTTACAAAACCAGTAATTGAAAGTATAATATAATGGTTTTAAAAATACTGAACATGAAGTGAAACGTCATATCCAAGATCTCACTAGCCTATTGTATCTCATTTGTTGAATGGTAATGCGTCCATCTTATAACACAATAGTCCTAGAACCTTGAAGTTTAAAACAAAAACGAAACATGAGTTCAGTGCACTTTTATTTTCAGTATTTCCTTTCCCTGGCATCACTTAAACATTCAGTCACCTGTCATATTAAAGTTAGCTCAGTTCTCAATCCAGAATGTTTTAATTTTGATAAATTATTCTACACATATCACTTAATGTCGTCAAAGGAAAGAAATTCGAACAAGTAGTAAACAGCCTATTGTCTTAAGTTCGGATTGGATTTATAGCCTTCTGAATTGATGTAATTCACCATGATATTCAGTGTCAGCTAACTGGCGATCTGTACCTCATTGGAAAATGATGAATAACTGATTAAGTGTTCAGTTATGCTATCAAACAGTTAACTGAAAAGTAAGTTACATTTATGCATCCTTCAATTTACTATCTATTGACATAATATCTGAAAAAAATATCTGTAACTTATCAGCTCTTTCCATTTTCCAAAAGATGGTATACTGTGACCCTAGGAAATGCAGTTTTGCTGAAAATCAAAGAAAAAATGTGTGTCACAAATCCTAAAGTATAAACTGAAACAGAAAGCCCGAAAAATATGTCGTTATTTGTCTGCACAAAACAACTTCACCAATGTGTTAAACCCGCTGAAAGATAGCTCTATCATTCAAATGAATATTAAAAGCGAATCACATTGTTAGGTCAGTTGTAATGCAGTGTGTGATAGAAAAATAATGGAAATATTTTATGAATATTTGGTGGCATTAGGTATAAAAAGAGGATAAATAAACTCGTTAGCCTGAGGTGTAAAATTATCGTCGAACACGACACGTTGGAATTTTACCAATTATATATTACAAATCATACCTTTCCGAGGCAGTTTTATAGAACTTTGAAGTTCAGTAAACTGCAACCAGATATCTCTAATCTTGATATAAGTATAAAACTTGGGCACTGTGGTAGAGTATAATTCCATTATAGATAAGATTTTATTCTGATAAATCGCACAGTGTTTACAGTTATATGAACATCAGTTCATATAACTGTAAACACTGTGCGATTTATCAGAATAAAATCTTATCTATAATGGAATCTCTAATCTTATTTGTCTTACAAAGTCACATATTGAAAATGTTTTTAAAAAAAATAGGTACAAGAACTACTTGCCCTTCATATATATGCATCACTTATTTCATCTGAATTATCAATAATATGTCACATGAAATTTCTTCACTTTTGTGACAGTGTCACTCAAAACACAAAAACAGATATACAAAATAAAAGTTCAATCGGTAATAGAATCCCGTTTAATCCCGATAAATATGTGACACATCTTTCTGATATTACTGTATCCACTGATCAGAGAGAAGCTTTATCCCTTGAAACTAAATTTTGTGTCCCTCGTATCCAATTTACGGATTTATCTACCCATACTGAGTTTAAAAACTTGTACGACTGAATCAAACCTCTTGCTGCAAAATCCGGTGAAGATCGGGGTTGATTTAAAGTCAAGATGGTGTATATAGCTCAACAGATTTCAAACAACAATCCAAAATAGAAAAGCACTTTAACTTTACAACATTTTGAAGCCTTGAAATAGCTACGGGAAAACCCTAATATAACAATTACGAAACCTAATAAAGGTTCTGGAGTGATAATCATGAATAAAAATGGTTACAAATTTAAAATTTCATCCATTCTTGATGATGAGAGTGAATTCAGTAGTGATCAGAAGGTATTCAATTATTGCAAGCCAGAGTAACAGCTAATCTAGTGAAACTTCTTGGCTTAAATGATATTATCATAATACATTTAATTGTTTAAAATCATCAGAATGTAAATTCCCACTTATATAACGCATATGCAAAACACAAACACGGTAATCCTCTACGTCCTACGCTGTCGATGTATAGATCGTCAACAAATAAACTTCCTCAATGGTTAGTGGAATTTATTGGACCCAGCTAAAAGAAAATTCTATAATTATCTATTGAGAAATACGTTTGAATTGATCAATTACCTTGATGATGATGAGGATGATATTATTATTATTATAAATAAAGATATGTATCCTTTCGATGTGAACTTATTTTTCAGTAAAGTATCCTTATTCAAAACAACTGACACTCTGTGTGATTACATCTCCATACATAATTTTCTAATCCCGTTCCCCATATCTTATTTAAAGGATTTGTTACTTCTCCGTACTAGAGCAGTGTTAGCTTCACATTTTAAGGTGATTATATCCGTCAAGTTGATGGTGTCGCTATAGGAAATCCATCTGAGCTCCTTTAAACAGATATCTAAATGTTGTACATCAAAAGTTTATCGGTAGATTTAATCAAAAATGTACCACCTTATAGAAGATATATCGGTTACATTGTAATTATAAGTGATAAGCCTTGTTCTATCACTTCAGTTTTAAATCTAATGAAAGAAGTTCAAAATAGTATATTACTTACGTATGTAGAAGATAGGGATAATTGTTTCTCTATCTTAGATATATTGATTAGTTCACGGCCTGATGGGTCAATAAAACGATCTATTTGTAGAAAACCTACCTGCATAAGACAGTATCTTAATTACCACAGTTTCTGCCCTCTTCGGCACAAAAGAGCCTTAGTGAGACGCCTCTTCAGTAGAATCCAACGTATATGCACCGAAGACATATTTAATGATGAAGAAAGAAAGTTGACACAGACTCTGGTTGATAATAATATTTCAGACAAGTTCATATGGGAATATAAAGTGGTCAGATCACTAAGATCTCACTGTCCAACTCGCCACTAAGACAGGCGTGTAAATCAATTTACCCTATATGGGTGATCATAATGTGGTGGTGTGATACAGACTGTGTGTTTCAACGGAATAATATTCTCACAAATAATATTCCCACAGTTCAATGCTGGATTAGGAAAAGAATACTATTTATGTATTTGAATATTCTGTTTCATGTCGCTTAACGTAAACAAAAATCACACGCTCAGTAATTGGCTTCTGTGTCTTGCCTTATGCTGTTACATTAGCAGCTTGACAACTAGACAAAGATTGAACAAATTGAACAAATCACACTATATACAAACATATCCCATCAAAAGCACAATCCATTCATATACAGACCTGCAATCCTTCGAAGATAAAGTGAATTATTGTTAAAACGTTTATTAACCCTTGATTTTATTCACTTAGGTTAATTCAACTTGAAAACCTCTGCAAATGGTGACATACAGGTACATCTGTGTATATGACAGACTAAATAATTATGAGCGTGATTAGGACTGAAAAATGTTAGAAGATTGTGGCTGACCGGATGTTTGAGATGAGCTGGGTGACTGGAGAGGGGAGGAGAATGGTGATTGACCGGATGTTTGAGATGATCTGGGTGACTGTTGAGAGGAGGAGAATGGTGATTGACCGGATGTTTGAGATGAGCTGGGTGACTGTTGAGAGGAGGAGAATGGTGATTGACCAGATGTTTGAGATGAGCTGGGTGACTGTTGAGAGGAGGAGAATGGTGATTGACCAGATGTTTGAGATGAGCTGGGTGACTGGAGAGGGGAGGAGAATGGTGATTGACCAGATGTTTGAGATGAGCTGGGTGACTGGAGAGGGGAGGAGAATGGTGATTGACCGGATGATTGAGACGAGCTGGGTGACTGGAGAGGGGAGGAGAATGGTGATTGACCGGATGATTGAGACGAGCCGGCTGACTGTTGAGAGGAGGAGAATGGTGATTGACCAGATGTTTGAGACGAGCTGGGTGACTGTTGAGAGGAGGAGAATGGTGATTGACCGGATGATTGAGACGAGCTGGGTGACTGTTGAGAGGAGGAGAATGGTGATTGACCGGATGATTGAGACGAGCCGGCTGACTGTTGAGAGGAGGAGAATGGTGATTGACCGGATGTTTGAGATGAGCTGGGTGACTGTTGAGAGGAGGAGAATGGTGATTGACCGGATGATTGAGACGAGCCGGCTGACTGTTGAGAGGAGGAGAATGGTGATTGACCAGATGTTTGAGATGAGCTGGGTGACTGGAGAGGGGAGGAGAATGGTGATTGACCGGATGTTTGAGATGAGCTGGGTGACTGGAGAGGGGAGGAGAATGGTGATTGACCAGATGTTTGAGATGAGCTGGGTGACTGGAGAGGGGAGGAGAATGGTGATTGACCGGATGATTGAGACGAGCCGGCTGACTGTTGAGAGGAGGAGAATGGTGATTGACCGGATGTTTGAGACGAGCTCGGTGGCTTAGCATCACTTGGTGGTGGTGAGTTTGGAAACTGTGAGTCATCTGATTGTTGTTGGTTTTGTTGTTCACTCATTTGTGACTGACTGTAACTCCCTGATCCCGAAGTCTGTGATGGACCATTATTATTTGAACCAGTTTTGGGCGGAAACTGAGCTGAATACCCTTTGTCACCTGATTTCTTTCCTCCACTTTGAAACTGATACTGGAATGAGAAACCAGATGACTGCGTGAGCTGTCTCAAAATTTCTTGAAGTTTATCGAGGAGTTCTTGAATATCACTTGTTTGTGATACTGTTACAGTTTGTTGCGGCATAGCAATGCATTGAAGGCATAACAATGAAGAAAAAACAATTGAGAATTTTGTCATAACCAACATGCTCCTGTCTCAATCAATTGCGAAGATTTCATCCACTAAATCGCATATATTTCAGCGCTAAATAAATTTCACAGTGTCACTTCTCAGCTATTTATACTCGTCATGATTATTAGACTGATCTGAATTAGGCCTTTGCAATCATTTCAACTGTATCTAAAATTGTCATGATTTAGTCAATCTCATCTCTCGTAATCGAATCACGTTTAGACTTCACTGAGTGCAGATTATTTATCATTCAAGTCAATCATGTGTTAATGATAATTTTTGACACGTTTTATTCTGTCTAATAATTAAAAACGAAATAAACTTTTCTTAAGATTATTTATTGCATTTATTGAAATCCACCAATGAATACTGACTGTTAATTCGAGTTCATCTGAAGATTATTTATCATGCACTACATTGTCCTTAAAAAATAGAGTGAGTTGTATAGTACGACCAGCATACAACTACGCGAGATTACACGAAATCACCATGTCTCATAGTGATACTTATCCAGTGCAACTAAACCTGATCCGATGTCAGGTTTCAAGGTAATTAATTACGTCAGACGTCCTATTTAGTTCCTTCAAAGCTCTGAAATGCAACAGAATCGAAATGTTTGTTGTTTTAGTCTGCAACCTGGATAACTGAGTGGATGGGTCAATATTGAGTAATTAAGCCTCCAGTCGACTTTATGTTTCTGTCGAGAGAGACACTAGAGAAATCAAGTGATCATAGAGATTTTCAGACTGGGAATCAGCGTTTGAATCTGAAGAACTGATTGTTATAATTATTGGTATTATTAATAGCTCGGAATTCAAACGAAACACAGGCCTGGAAATACACATCTGCACTTTATCTTGTTCCTTGTAGTCCTCGACAGGTGACTCCACGATTTCCCATAAACTACCATCTCCTCCTCACACGATCGCCTCCATGTCATCCCCAGATGCTCAGTTCGCCGATTCCCATTTGAGTTCCACTCGAGCGATCACCTACGTTCCGCGCGTTGTCACTCAACTGTCTCCTCAGTGTGTGTCCAATCCACCTTCGTCTTCCCCAGCATTCGATTCGGTCAATAGTCTGTCGGATGACTGTTTGTCGTCAGAGTCCCTCGTCGCCAGTCCTCCCTCGATCGCCATCTGGTCTTCAATATGGAGGTTGTGAAGGAAGCTGTTGATGAGAGTTTGAAGACTGTGGAAAATGCTTTACGTGACTCGCAATCCATGTCTCTGATCCACATAGAAGAAGAACTGACTGACCTAATACTGATGTTGAAAAGTTGAGTCTTGCTAAGTGCATCAGATTTCCAGCCTGGTTTCAGATTAGTGAATGTCTGTCTTGCTTCTCCAGTCCTCGTTGGCTTTGACTTCCTCATCTATATCACCTGTAGTTGAGACGATGACGCCCATCTAAGTGGAGAGTGACTTCCTGTAGACTTGTCGCGCAGACAGTGATTTGTGCTTGTTGTTGTTTGTCGTTGTTGCTGTTGGTCGGTGGATGTCCTCACCACCACCGTTTTCTCTATATCCATTTGAAGTCCTGTCTTTTCTCGCGGCCGATTCTAACAACCTCTTGATTTTCGTCTGTGAGTCTTCGAGTTTGTGTGACACTAGACGACAAAAGTCACCCACGATGTGGACATGTCTTCTAGAGTCTTCTTATCGGTTCAACATATTCCTGTGTTCTTGGTCCCCCGTCTCGTCACCGTCTCCCTCATGATCCAGTCCACCTTGATGAAGAATATCATCGGTGATAATAGGAAGCCTTGTTCTACTACTTTAGAGGCCTCTGTGTGTTTTCTGTTGTGGATTACTTGATATGTGGCATCATTCTATAAGCAGATGTTGAATGAATTTCATCAGTGTTTGTGTCTCTCAGCAGCGTTGAAGTACTTTAACTGTTTCTCAGTACATTGAAAATATTTAGTTCTTTTGGTAAATTGTAACAGAGAATGGAATAAAAGATTATTATTTTCACAATGAATGGTGAACGCCACACTCATTGCAAATATTTTGTCATTTCTATAGTACACTGTTATCTAATTATAATCTATGTCGTCTTGAATGTATTCACACATACGCTATCCTCAGTTAACTAATCAAATAGGAAAAGAATCTATGCTAATAATTAAATATTGCGCATTCCGGCTACACTAGTGCCTTTTAAATATGAAATCATTAGGTTACTTATGATCAGCTGCTAGGTGAAACGGGAATTTTAAAGACTGCATATACAATAAAGTACGATAGATACAATATTCGGATATCTATAGTCTCAGGTGATTTTATGTCCTATGTCTCTACCATAAAGATAAACACAGCCTGGAAATAATAATAATAATAATAAAGCAGAGTAGTTAGACGTCTAGAGTAGATGTACTATCGTGTTATTTTTTACAAACGACTAGTTACTTAATCTTACCACGTGGTAGAGTAAAATGGAAAATTTCTACAAAGAGTATTTTTAAATTATAGTTCAGTCTTTAATAAAGAAAGTATGTCCTCAATACATATTCTTCCGTGTGTATTTACCAGCTTAGCCGCTTTTGTAGGAAGAGGTAAACAGACAGTGCGTTGCGCATGGATACGACAACATATTCCAGCGCGGTTGTATGAGGGCCGAAGGAAGTTCTGATTTTCTCCATTCAGCTGATGTTGACACTTAGTTTTGTACTGTCTACTGAGTCCACTCACATCGACCGCGTTTTCCACGCTTGTTATTATTGCTCCCTTGAGTTCCTAGTGGAACATAGGGCTTCAACTGCACGCCTCCATTTGCTTCTGCCTTCTGCTGTACTTTTCGCCTGCATCCATGTTAGTCCATATTCTTTCAGCTCCTCTTCACACGATCTCCTCCATGTCACCCTTGCACTGACGTCCCACACGCCGCTTCCCTTTCGGGTTCCACTCGAGGGCCTGACGCGCGATGTCACCCAGAGGTCTCCTCAGCGAGTGTCCGATCCATCTCCACTTTCTCCTGCATATTTGTTGGACGATTGGTTCTTGCTTTGTTTGTTCCCATAATTCCTTGTTGGTGATTCTTTCCGGCCATCTGATCTTCAGTATAGAGCGAAGACAGTTGTTAATAAAGGTCTGCAACCCTTTGGAAATATTCTTTGTGACCCACCCGCCAAGTTTCTGATCCGTATAGAAGAACTGACTTGACGTTTGTATTGAAAATCCGAATTTTGTTGGTTATGCTGAGTGACGAAGATTTCCAGATTGATTTCAGGCTGATGAATGTGTTTCTCGCCTTCCCGATTCTTGCTCGATTTGACATCCTCGTTCGCTCCTCCTGTAGTTGAGACAATGCTCCCTAGATAAGTGAATGAAGTAACCTCTTTCAAATCCCTCCCGTTGATGGTGATTGACGTTGGATGTTGTTGCTGTTGTTGGTTGGTTATTTTCATAACCTCCGTCTTGTCTATGTTCACCTGGAGTCCTGTCTTCGCCGGCTGCTTCTTCGACCAGTTTGTCGGTTTTCGCTTGTAAGTCTTCGATTGTGTGTGACATCAAACATAATTCATCCACTCGCGAAATCCAGGTCTTCTAGGTTCTTCACGTCGGTCCAGGATATTCCTGTCTTCTCGTTTCCCACTGTCTGACGCATAATCCAGTCCACCACAATTAGGAATATCATTGGTGATAGATAATAAGCACCCTTGTCTGACTCCTGTGTTTACTCCAAACGCCTCGCTGAGTCTTCCGTTGTGGATCACTTGACATGTGCCGTTGTCGTACAGCTGTTGAATAAGGTTGATGAATATTTGGGGTACGCCGTAGTACTCGAGTAATTTCCAAATTACTTCACGGTCAACGCTGTCGAAGGCCTTCTCAAAGTCTATAAAGTTGAGGTAGAGGTTTGATTGCCATTCCATGCTTTGTTCGATGATGATGCGTAGAGTTGCAATTTGGTCAGTACATGATTTGCCTTTCCTGAATCCAGCTTGTTCTGGTCGGAGTTCTGTCTCCAGTGCGTCCTTTAATCTCTCCAGGATGATGCGACTCAGGATTTTACTTGGCGTCGACAGGAGCATGATTCCTCGCCAGTTCTTGCAGAGTGGGCCTAAGTCGCCCTTCTTTGGTAGTTTCACGAGGTAACCTTTCCTCCAGTCAGTAGGCACCTTTCCCTCCTTCCAGACCTTTTGCAATAATGGAGTCAGCATATTTGCTGCGGTCTCTGGGTCCGCTTTCAGTGCTTCAGGGGGTATTCCATCTGGTCCGGCTGCTTTTCCAGCTTTCAGAAACTTGATTGCGTTCAAGACTTCAGCTCTCGTTGGAGGATTGGTGTCAACTTGCAGTTGTGTGCGCGCTGTTGTTGGTATTTCTGGACGGGTTGCAGGTGATGGTCGGTTCAAGAGTCCTTTGAAGTGATCCGCCCATTGTTTAATCTGTTTTTCTTCCTTGGTAATTGGGTTCCCTTGGCTGTCTTTTATAGGTTTCGCTTGTGTTGGTCTCTTCCCGGATAGAGATTTGGTTATCTGATATAGTGTCCTCAGGTCCCTTTTGCCTGCTGCCTTCTCAGCTTCAGTGGCGAGGTTGTCGTAGAATCGTCTTTTGTCCTTCCTAGCACTCTTCTTCACTTCTTTGTCCAGTGCTGTGTAAGTTGAGCTCATCGTCTTCTTCTCCTGTCCGTCCTTGCATTGAATCATTTTCTCTTTCACCATTCTCCTCTCTTCTATTAATTTCCAAGTGTCCGTTGAGAGCCATTCCTTGTCTTGTCTCTTCTTTCTTCCTAGAACCGTTGAACACGTTTCGTTGAGAATCGCCTTCAGAGACTTCCAATGTTCTTCCACGCATGATTCTTCAGTGATGTCGCGTAGTGTTTCCTGCTTTGCTCTGACAGTTGCAGTGAAAGTGTCCTTCAGTAATTGAGTGTTGAACTTGCATTGTGGCCTATCCCCAGCTATCCTCGAGGCTTTTAGTTTCACCTTGAAAGTCCCTTGTACTAGATAGTGGTCTGAACCCACATCTGCTCCTCTCCTTGACCTTGTGTCCAGTAGGCTCCGTCTCCACTTTCTTGAAATTGAGATGAAGTCTATTTGGTTTTTGGTGTTTCCATCTGGTGAAATCCATGTCGTCTTGTGTATATCCTTGTGTTTGAACACACTACCGCCAATCACCAAATCATTGAAGGCGCAGAAGTCTGAGAAGAGTTCACCATTGTCGTTCATTTCACCGAGGGCCTCACGACCCATGGTGAGTTCTCTTCCTGTGTTGTCTCCTCCCAGCTTCGCATTCATGTCGCCCATCAGGATTTTGATATCGCCATTTGGGACGTTGTCCATTATTGCTTGTAGTTGTCTGTAGAACGCCTCCTTCTTCTCTTGTTCTGAGACGTTTGTAGGCGCATAGCATTGAATGACTGTAACTTTCCTTCCTTTTGAGTTGAACCTGGCTGTCATTATCCCTGCATGAGAGCTTTGGTTGCTGTTGGTGACATCATGATGGCCACTCCCTCGGTGTGCTCATGGTTGTCCTCTGGATGGCCGGAAAAGATTACTGTCTCTCCAGTAGGTAGTTGGCACCTTCCAGTTCCGTTCCATCTGCTCTCGCAGATTCCCAACACTTCTATTCTGTACCTTCTCATTTCTGCGGCTATCTGGGCAGCCTTTCCAGTTTCGTACATTGTACGAACATTCCAGGTACCCATCCTTACTTTTGCTTTCATCGAAAGAAGGCACATCGGCTGACTGGCTTCCCGAAGTGCTTTCACCAGCCTGCGTCATTTCACTTCCCCGATTCCAGCGATAAATAGGGCTATTGTTTATGTTTTTGGAATTTTTTATATATTTATTCGTTGAATTTTCTGTGGCGATTTGTTTGCTTTTCAGGGGTGGAGTTGCTAGCACCACGCCACAACCCTGCCTCTTTACCCGGGCTTGGGACTAGGTAGAAAACTAGTAAGCTAGTATCTGGCAACGTTGTTTTCCACGCAACCAAATTGTTAAAATGGAGAGACTTGGGCTGTTCATGAACTGATGAATGTTATTTCAGTAGTTTAAAACCTTGTCTATAATAAAAAAAACACTGTCGTAACGTATTGTTTTTCCAGTTATCTTATTTACTTTCCATCCGTTTGTTGATTTTACAAATGATTCTGTGCATTATACAACCTGCTTCGTTATCATTTGCTGTTTAACTATGACAGTGATGACACATATTTTTATCGGAATCAATATTATTATTATTATTATTATTATTATTACGAGTTGACCTCATTTGGAGAGGCACTGGAAAACCTGAGAGTACTGGGCGTTGTTCCACCCTAGTTTCGGAATCGTCATCACTACGCGCCCGTTGGGGTTTGAACCCTGTAAATCAACACCTGATATTATGTTTTATTTTATTTTGTATTTCTGCACATGATATTGTATTCAAGAAATTATGTGTACGCGAATACACACCTTGACAATGAATTCGTCGTAAAGAGTCGCTTCGTTGAATACTGTGTAAAAGCTGATAGATAGTCTTTGAGCAAAGTGTATGCTTCCTACTTTGTCTTAAAATTATGTTCACTGATCATACCTATGATCATGCTGTTTTACACCTAATTAACATTATACAAGTAGTCTACACCTTTTCATATTCTACTGAATTAAATGAAATAAGCCTATTCCATTAAACTTACGGTATAAATGTTTAGGTTACTCCGAAGGTTTACAAAATGACTTAAAACTATGACAGGAAATAAGATTTTTCACCTGCTAATCACTCAAATATCTTTGAAATAACTTAATAACATTGAACTATCTACAAGTACTTATATATATATATATATATATATATATATATATATATATATATATATATATATATATATATATATATATATATTTACATGAAAGCATTAGAAATATTTTAATATAAATTTACCGGAAGTCGCATACTGACTAAAGAGCTAACCAACCAGTTATGATAATTATTTTTCACTTAAATGCCTGGAAGTGCTTATTCTTTTAGCCATCAACTGATATGTTGTTGTTTATCTAAAACACGACTGCATTAGAAGAATGGTGTTTTTTCTTTTACAAACTAGATTTAATTTATAATATTTAACAGTCTTTCTTAAATGTTCAACATCTGAAGATCAATGAAAATTTGAATGAGAAATAAATTAACCTACATAAGACTTATCAAACCATGTCAATTAAAATTAAAATTTATATGTGTCTTATTGTAATCAGAATGAAAAGTAGTTGTCACAGAAACTTCTGAACAATTTGACAAAATAAGAATTTCTTTCTGTTAGTAATTTAGAATTCTTACATGATTTATAAAGATCCACTATAAATGCTTTATTCCATTGAAATGAAGAAGTCAAATGATCTCGCAACTGATGACATTCTTCAGTAGAACATTTATCGTCTCCCATACTACTGAAAGAATTAACTAAACCATCATTAATTTCATTATGCGGGAAAAAGTTTGCAAAGACTGAAAAAATATCACGAATGAAACTAAAAGGATTCGGAACTTGGCTGGAAGAAATATTCAAAGAGGAAACAGAAGAAGGCCTCACACCAACAGTTGGCATTAAACCAGAAAAATTGCGATTATTACGAATTAGACTAAATACAAGTAGGTAAATGGCAGATTTCGAAGAATGTGAAATGTTTCCGAAGAGAGAAACCAAAGAAAATGTGTCGTTCAGAATAGAAGCATTAATCATATCAGTAAAATTGCAGACTGCTGATCGTTGTGAGTTGTGAGATGGTGTTTCTCCGACTGGCGATGCGTTCATCTGGTGAGGAGGTGGATTCATCCCGTCTACATCGGGACCGAGAACTGGAATCATGGGAAGTGGTCCCGGTTGTTGTGAGTTGTGAGATGGTGGTTGTCCGACTGGCGATGCGTTCATCTGGTGAGGAGGTGGATTCATCCCGTCTACATCGGGACCGAGAACTGGAATCATGGGAAGTGGTCCCGGTTGTTGTGAGTTGTGAGATGGTGGTTGTCCGACTGGTGATGCGTTCATCTGGTGAGGAGGTGGATTCATCCCGTCTACATCGGGACCGAGAACTGGAATCATGGGAAGTGGTCCCGGTTGTTGTGAGTTGTGAGATGGTGGTTGTCCGACTGGCGATGCGTTCATCTGGTGAGGAGGTGGATTCATCCCGTCTACATCGGGACCGAGAACTGGAATCATGGGAAAGGGTCCCGGTTGTTGTGAGTTGTGAGATGGTGGTTGTCCGACTGGCGATGCGTTCATCTGGTGAGGAGGTGGATTCATCCCGTCTACATCGGGACCGAGAACTGGAATCATGGGAAGTGGTCCCGGTTGTTGAGAGTTGTGAGATGGTGGTTGTCCGACTGGCGATGCGTTCATCTGGTGAGGAGGTGGATTCATCCCGTCTACATCGGGACCGAGAACTGGAATCATGGGAAGTGGTCCCGGTTGTTGTGAGTTGTGAGATGGTGGTTGTCCGACTGGCGATGCGTTCATCTGGTGAGGAGGTGGATTCATCCCGTCTACATCGGGACCGAGAACTGGAATCATGGGAAGTGGTCCCGGTTGTTGTGAGTTGTGAGATGGTGGTTGTCCGACTGGCGATGCGTTCATCTGGTGAGGAGGTGGATTCATCCCGTCTACATCGGGACCGAGAACTGGAATCATGGGAAGTGGTCCCGGCTGTTGTGAGTTGTGAGATGGTGGTTGTCCGACTGGCGATGCGTTCATCTGGTGAGGAGGTGGATTCATCCCGTCTACATCGGGACCGAGAACTGGAATCATGGGAAGTGGTCCCGGTTGTTGTGAGTTGTGAGATAGTTGATGTCCAACTGTCTTTATCGTCTTGTTTTCAATGTTTCTTTGGGTTTGTTCATTTTTGTGGATTTCATTTTTTTCATTTTCGATTTTTTGGTGTGTTTCTGATGTGCTGATTGGTTTTTGAAGTTGCTCTTGATATATATTTGACGACTCTTTGCTTTCATTAGTTCCACTTATTGGTTGATATATCTGCTGAGCATATTGTATTTGTGTTTGTACACGCTTTGGTTTTATATTTTGATTACTTGCATGTTGTGTTTGAACTGCAAGTTGTTTTTGGTTTGGTCCTTGTATTTGTAATATAAATTGGTGTTGTGTTGAATTGTTATGTTCATCTAAATTCTTATTACTCTTACCTTCCATTTCTGAAGTTTCTATTTGAGATGGTTGGTTATGTGAAATTTCTCGTTGTATAGTATGCTGTAATTGTTCCAATGACTTATCAAGTATCAAAAAAGGCATTTGAAATTGACTGACTGCATCATCATCATCATCACTGCTTGGCTTTGATGCTGCTATACTCTCCACGTCTTTTTTATTCGGTATGTTATTCATATTATTTTGACTTGAATTATTTTCTATAGATAAAGGTATTGGTAGACTGACTGAATTATTATATGTGTACATTCCACCATTAACTGACTGTCCATCAATGGATGCTGCAAGTGTAATGCTAAGAAATAGGTGAGTTGTCAACAGGATAGATATTGTTTTCATCACTGTATGTATCTGTTTCTTTGAATCTCTTTTCAGATTGTTATGAAGCTGTTGTGCAATTAAGATATTAACAGTGTGAAATGATACGGAGAATATATATATATACATATAATCTTTTAAATGTTTGTCTCTGATCATTCAGACTCTGTATGGTTTTTGGATTTAATTTCTTTTATTGAACTAATTGCGTCATACAAGAATAGTATTCATAATAACTGTGTTCTGAATATAAGAAGTTGAATGACACAGTTGTGCGGATTAAGTCATTTGCTCACTTTTTACATGCTGGCATTAATCTCTCTAGTGACCCGTTTGTTTCACAGGTTAAAGGATTAAAGATTAATTTAGTGAACTTTCTGGACCAGTTGCGGTGTTAGTCACGTATGATTTGACTTTTTTTTGTCAACAGAAAACTATATAAAGTGTCAGTATCATTCAGAACCAAGAAGTATAAGACAGAGGAATAACAACACGGTCACCTTGTAACCTGGAGGTTCTTGGTTCTATGCCTGATGTGATCACGGAGATGTACTGGTGAGAAGATTCAAGCTAAAACGGAAAAGATGTCAATAATCGCTTATGAACTTGATTTTAATATTATTCATTGAAGGTTTCAGATTTCCAGTTGTCTGGCTTCATTGGACGGAAATGAATGTGGTCTCCTCGTGCTTATCAACTCTTAATGATAACGCTTCCATGATGCTTTGCACTAAACTCATCACCAGGATGTGCTGAGAGAATGAACCTTTGTGCATTTTATAGGATGAGTTCGGGTTTTAGTGGGTACACTGCCACTCATTGGAATGCAGGGACATCCAGCTGACAAGTTCAAAATGCGACAAAACGCCAATCCTGCACTCCATTGTTAACTGTGAATGGTCGAATATATTTACTTCGGAATAAACGGTAATGTTAAACATTTTTAAGGCTTTATAAGCGAATACTGTTTAGATTAAATGATCACAAAGTTTGAATAGTAAGCATCAACGAAAAAATCTGTGGTCATATTCATCGAAGAGATTTCTAAATTGCCCAATAACTGTTGATCATATTTTTTAACCTAATTAGAGAGAGATAAGTGATTGTGTTATATTATGTTTGTAAGCACTCTGTCTCAACCATTTACGACTATCTAACACCAAACTGCCTTTAAAGTGAATGAATAAAATAATGTGACTATGTAAGTGGTGCTTATTAACAGACTCGTGTACATGATCTGATCATTCCTACAAGAAATCCTCTACAATACAAAAAAATGTCTGTGAACTAAACAGACACATTACTCTATTGGTCGACATTTCTAAGGAATCAGGATAGTGACATTTTGATTAATAATGGTTGGTGATTGAACTTGAAATGGAAATGTGGACCAGAGGTCTGTGAATTATTATTTGTCCTGCTGTGTATCAGCTGGAACATGATAGTCCGTTGATGTATTGAATCCTATTACGATTTAGATTTTAATTTCACCTCTAATCATCACTCATTACACCATTAGATCTACTAACCCAGTGCCATCTCAGGTTGTCTCACCATCAATTCTAATAAGCCCCGGTAACATTAATCTACTGAATGCCTGTGATCAACTCCAACTATCTACAACTATAATGAATTCAATGGATACGACCTGGTGTAATTAAAATCCCATAAGATTACTGTTAATTCCTTTCTTACCTATCCTTTGTTACTGTCTCCTTTGTGTCCATTTTCATGCTTTTTTTTCAAATCGTAGAAAATACCCATTGGAACATTAGACTGAAAAGAACACGAAGTTCAGCAAAGATGGCGATCTTTTCGGCGATTTCATTCTCAAAACCAGCTGTACAATCGCATTTATATAGATTAGTTTACATGGATACAATTATTATTTATTTAATTCCACATAATAACGAAGGTGATAATAATTTTCAACTTGATATGAAAGTTTGAAGGTACTAATATAGATTACAAGGGGCTTAGAGACAAGATTTCATAGGATTAGAAAATAGTTACAACGTATGCAAAATTAATATTTGATAGCTGGAGAAATAATTTTAAAGGTGAACAAAAGGTGATAATTGTTTTCAACTTGATATAAATTACAAGAGGCTTAGAGACGCAGAGATAGAACGAATTACAAGTGTGAACAAAATAAGCATGGAAACAAATTGAAATCAAATTTTTTCAACTTGAAATGTAGGTTAGGAGGTGTGAATATAGATTACAAGAGGCACTGAAACGAAAAATTACACAGGATAAGAATATAATTGTAAAATGGTTATTCTAAACGGATTACAAGGGTGATTAGGAGGAGCATGGAAACAAACTTAGAATAACTGATTTTATAACTGAAAAAATAGGATGAATTGAGTGAAGGCAAAGAGAGAGAATTACACACATACAAAACAAAACAAACTGAAGGATAAGGGAACATATCGAACTAGGTCCATGGTAGTTGTAGAGGCTGGACTAGTTTCTTTTGAACGAATAGCTCCGGCTTTTCAATGCATATGGCGACAGCTTCTGCAGTGCAAAGAATTCGGAAACACACTGTCTTTGGTAGATTTTTGTTCACTTTGTAAATGACTTTATATAATGAGTCAGTTGAGTTTCTGTGACAGGCATTGACGAGATGTTCAGTTATTGCGCTTCTGATTTTTATGCTACTTATCATTAGTAAGTAGCATGAATTATACATCATTATGTTTACGCGTTGAAAATCCGAATTTTGTTCACTATTCTCAACAAAGTTGGGATGCTCAACACTAATGTTCAATCATTTCGCCTATAGGCTTCAGAAACTTGGAGTTCGCGTCAAGACAAGCATTTCGAACAGACTGCAGACTTTTATCAGCAGCTGCCTTCGCCATCTCCATACTAAATACCATTGCCTAGCCGACATTAAAGGATTAGCAACAAGGGATTCTGGGTACCGGACAATCAAGAACCTATTGCTCAACATCTATTCTGAAGGAAGCGATGATGGATCGGACACACGCTAAGGAGACCTGAGTGAGAAACGATGCGTTGAACGCAGATCCCAGGGTTAAGTGAAGGAAATCGTATAAGGAAACTAAAGCCTATGGACATTCCTATAGCCACCTAAAGAGGACTCTAGAGAACAAGACAAGTTGGAGATGTGTTGTTGAAGCTCTATGTTTCACCACGAACCCAAAGGAATAATAATAATAGGAGAATGTTTCAAGCATAACCTTATCGCTGATAATCGTATTAAGAGGTCTCTCCACACAACTTTCCTTTTTTTAATCTAACATCTTATATATTTTCAAGATATACGTGTGTGCGGTGCTAATTCTGTGATTCTTAATACGGCTAAAATAAAGATGGCACTTAGGTGTACGAATCATTACTGAACCGTCAAATTCTGAGAATATAACAATGCGAAAAATATCCGCATAAACTAAAAATCTCCTTAATTTCAGATTATTCACTGTCTGACAATAAAATGATGAGTGTATATAAAGGGAGGCATGAGCCAATTTCGAGGTATAGTAATCTTAAATTATTTGAGTAATTACTAGAGAATGAGAAAAAAATAAACTGGTAGTTCAGATAAAAACATAATTAGACAGACATGATTTTCTTCACAGAACGGATTATAAATGATGGTGACCATGATAAAAAAGTTTTAATGTACTTCTTTTAGATACATAGCATCGGTCTAAATTTTCTGATCACTAATACTTGAGCAGTGCCGATGTACCTCAATCTCACCTGACGTTTGGTCGGATCACGTATAGAACTTTAAAGGATTTCTCAAAAGGGATTAAGTGTCCTGAGTACATGATATGTTCTGTTGTCGAACTATAGATACACTTCTGTTTTGCCTTTCCCAGATAGGATGGACAGTGTTGCATAAATGAGTCCTATAGACAAATGCATGGTATGGCCTGCATACTCAGCTCCACTGCAGCAAGTGAACAGGTGATTGCTGATATGGGCCAGTATAACAGCTTGTCCTTTACATGCTGACCGAATATCTGCTTGCAAATGATAGCTATTCTTAAGCTGGTAGCAAAGTATAATTTACTGAGAGATTCCGAAAGCTGTTTTGGGTGAATTTCTGCCTTGGTGTCATTTATAAATTCGATTTTCAACAGCAGACTTTACTTGAGGATAACCTAGACCTGTTCAGCAGCTTTCTTGTCTACGAATCTGCACGGGAAGCTATTTTCCACCAAAATTCTTTTCAGGTTGTGCAGCTTTGCGTCAACAGGTCATCCGGCATATAATGCTCAGATTCCTGAGAAAAGTGAATGGATAAGATGCATCTTTCGGCTCAGAGATACAGAACATTGAAAATTCATAAACTGTCCATCACACGTACCCTTTTTTGTAGGAAGATCTTTTCCGTTAGTTATCATCTTTTAGCACTTGAGCATGAAGGAAATGAAACTTTGAGTCAGATTCTACTTCTAGAGTAAGGATATTATTTAGATGAGTAAATTTTCGAGATTCCAATTTACATCATAAATAATGAAAGTATAGTCAATATATCTCTTAGAGACGTGAAGCCTGTTGATTTTTATCGATAAGATATTGGTTTCTAAGCCTGCCAAAAAATGTCTGCCAAGAGGAGTCCTACAGGAAAACCCATTTCTACGTCCTCTGTTTGCCTGTAGATTTCGTTGTTGCATCTGAGGTATACTTTGAAATTTTATCTGACTAAGAGCTTTTTCAGGTAGTGAACCGGTGTGCAAACGTCTATACTACAGGACTGAAAACAATCCAAGAAAAAAGATACTTCTGTCACTGGAACATTGGTGAAAACAGGATGACATTCCTAAGTGAATCGATGAAATCAGATGTGTCCCACAGATTGTATCTCGACAGCTTCTCCTTCACTCGCCCAAGAATCTCTGTTAGCCGCTTCGCGATTGAGTGATATAGAGAATTTAGCATATCCAAAGGTAATCAGTGTGGATCTAGATGAAACAACACCGAAATGTTTCCCTGTTGTTGTTCATCATTCACTTTTTATTAACCAAACCGTATGATGTTTGTCAATAAGTTTTCATGAAACTAGCTTAATAGGTGTCATGCAGTTAACTCTACAAATGGTTGACAAAATAGTAAGTACACATTGGAAGTTTATTCTTAACACAATGACAAGTCACACAGAGGTGTAAGCTAACGTCATTTCCGATACATTGCAAAAATACCTAGTTCGCTTATGACGGACTAACCAGTATCATATATCTGATCCTTTATTAATCAAGTTTTCAGTTCCATTACTCGCCATCACTCTGTATCGATGTAAGATTGTCGAAAGTAATCAGTAAGAAGCTGCAAAGCTAGACTTACACTTATGAGTACTCGCCAACGTAAAAAAAGGAAGACGAATTCTGTCTGGCATGATTTATCAGTGGCTGTTTGGTCGACAGACTCACCTCGTAAGATAAAGATCGTGGGTTAAATCCCCGGTAGGATCATAGGTGAAATGTACCAAAGTAGACAATTATTAAACTTCCTTCACGATGACAAGAATGGCTGAAGATGAGTGCAGAAGTGTTTATTCTGTAAAACGCCCATGAAATGTTGTAAATTACCTATAAATGTTTCATCTACTGATGATTCATTTAATTTCACACCTTATTATACTGAACTTTGAAAGTTTTATTCTAGGATTTATAAAGTGATGTGTACTCAACTAATAATAAGCTAACCTGTACATTCCTGTGTGAACGTTTCATTTTTTTACCGGATGCACTTCTCGTTTTAGAAACAGATTCCATAAAATAGTAATATGTCAGCCTCATAACTGTACATTTCTGCGCTCGATCCCTAACGGAATGGTGAGTATAGGTGTCTATAAATATGTTTGCATCGTTTACACTGTGTTCACTCACATCAAGAAAATCCAAGGGATTCATACCACATTATACATCAAAAGAGATTAAAATATATCAAATGGTAAAGAATAGTTGTTACACAGAAATACACACCACCCTCTTCATTCACAATTCTCCCCTTGTATCATGGGAAGTGGTCCCGGTTGTTGTGAGTTGTGAGATGGTGGTTGTCCGACTGGCGATGCGTTCATCTGGTGAGGAGGTGGATTCATCCCGTCTACATCGGGACCGAGAACTGGAATCATGGGAAGTGGTCCCGGTTGTTGTGAGTTGTGAGATGGTGGTTGTCCGACTGGCGATGCGTTCATCTGGTGAGGAGGTGGATTCATCCCGTCTACATCGGGACCGAGAACTGGAATCATGGGAAGTGGTCCCGGTTGTTGTGAGTTGTGAGATGGTGGTTGTCCGACTGGCGATGCGTTCATCTGGTGAGGAGGTGGATTCATCCCGTCTACATCGGGACCGAGAACTGGAATCATGGGAAGTGGTCCCGGTTGTTGTGAGTTGTGAGATAGTTGATGTCCAACTGTCTTTATCGTCTTGTTTTCAATGTTTGTTTGGGTTTGTTCATTTTTGTGGATTTCATTTTTTTCATTTTCGATTTTTTGGTGTGTTTCTGATGTGCTGATTGGTTTTTGAAATTGCTCTTGATATATATTTGACGACTCTTTGCTTTCATTAGTTCCACTTATTGGTTGATATATCTGCTGAGCATATTGTATTTGTGTTTGTACACGCTTTGGTTTTATATTTTGATTACTTGCATGTTGTGTTTGAACTGCAAGTTGTTTTTGGTTTGGTCCTTGTATTTGTAATATAAATTGGTGTTGTGTTGAATTGTTATGTTCATCTAAATTCTTATTACTCTTACCTTCCATTTCTGAAGTTTCTATTTGAGATGGTTGGTTATGTGAAATTTCTCGTTGTATAGTATGCTGTAATTGTTCCAATGACTTATCAAGTATCAAAAAAGGCATTTGAAATTGACTGACTGCATCATCATCATCATCACTGCTTGGCTTTGATGCTGCTATACTCTCCACGTCTTTTTTATTCGGTATGTTATTCATATTATTTTGACTTGAATTATTTTCTATAGATAAAGGTATTGGTAGACTGACTGAATTATTATATGTGTACATTCCACCATTAACTGACTGTCCATCAATGGATGCTGCAAGTGTAATGCTAAGAAATAGGTGAGTTGTCAACAGGATAGATATTGTTTTCATCACTGTATGTATCTGTTTCTTTGAATCTCTTTTCAGATTGTTATGAAGCTGTTGTGCAATTAAGATATTAACAGTGTGAAATGATACGGAGAATATATATATATACATATAATCTTTTAAATGTTTGTCTCTGATCATTCAGACTCTGTATGGTTTTTGGATTTAATTTCTTTTATTGAACTAATTGCGTCATACAAGAATAGTATTCATAATAACTGTGTTCTGAATATAAGAAGTTGAATGACACAGTTGTGCGGATTAAGTCATTTGCTCACTTTTTACATGCTGGCATTAATCTCTCTAGTGACCCGTTTGTTTCACAGGTTAAAGGATTAAAGATTAATTTAGTGAACTTTCTGGACCAGTTGCGGTGTTAGTCACGTATGATTTGACTTTTTTTTGTCAACAGAAAACTATATAAAGTGTCAGTATCATTCAGAACCAAGAAGTATAAGACAGAGGAATAACAACACGGTCACCTTGTAACCTGGAGGTTCTTGGTTCTATGCCTGATGTGATCACGGAGATGTACTGGTGAGAAGATTCAAGCTAAAACGGAAAAGATGTCAATAATCGCTTATGAACTTGATTTTAATATTATTCATTGAAGGTTTCAGATTTCCAGTTGTCTGGCTTCATTGGACGGAAATGAATGTGGTCTCCTCGTGCTTATCAACTCTTAATGATAACGCTTCCATGATGCTTTGCACTAAACTCATCACCAGGATGTGCTGAGAGAATGAACCTTTGTGCATTTTATAGGATGAGTTCGGGTTTTAGTGGGTACACTGCCACTCATTGGAATGCAGGGACATCCAGCTGACAAGTTCAAAATGCGACAAAACGCCAATCCTGCACTCCATTGTTAACTGTGAATGGTCGAATATATTTACTTCGGAATAAACGGTAATGTTAAACATTTTTAAGGCTTTATAAGCGAATACTGTTTAGATTAAATGATCACAAAGTTTGAATAGTAAGCATCAACGAAAAAATCTGTGGTCATATTCATCGAAGAGATTTCTAAATTGCCCAATAACTGTTGATCATATTTTTTAACCTAATTAGAGAGAGATAAGTGATTGTGTTATATTATGTTTGTAAGCACTCTGTCTCAACCATTTACGACTATCTAACACCAAACTGCCTTTAAAGTGAATGAATAAAATAATGTGACTATGTAAGTGGTGCTTATTAACAGACTCGTGTACATGATCTGATCATTCCTACAAGAAATCCTCTACAATACAAAAAAATGTCTGTGAACTAAACAGACACATTACTCTATTGGTCGACATTTCTAAGGAATCAGGATAGTGACATTTTGATTAATAATGGTTGGTGATTGAACTTGAAATGGAAATGTGGACCAGAGGTCTGTGAATTATTATTTGTCCTGCTGTGTATCAGCTGGAACATGATAGTCCGTTGATGTATTGAATCCTATTACGATTTAGATTTTAATTTCACCTCTAATCATCACTCATTACACCATTAGATCTACTAACCCAGTGCCATCTCAGGTTGTCTCACCATCAATTCTAATAAGCCCCGGTAACATTAATCTACTGAATGCCTGTGATCAACTCCAACTATCTACAACTATAATGAATTCAATGGATACGACCTGGTGTAATTAAAATCCCATAAGATTACTGTTAATTCCTTTCTTACCTATCCTTTGTTACTGTCTCCTTTGTGTCCATTTTCATGCTTTTTTTTCAAATCGTAGAAAATACCCATTGGAACATTAGACTGAAAAGAACACGAAGTTCAGCAAAGATGGCGATCTTTTCGGCGATTTCATTCTCAAAACCAGATGTACAATCGCATTTATATAGATTAGTTTACATGGATACAATTATTATTTATTTAATTCCACATAATAACGAAGGTGATAATAATTTTCAACTTGATATGAAAGTTTGAAGGTACTAATATAGATTACAAGGGGCTTAGAGACAAGATTACATAGGATTAGAAAATAGTTACAACGTATGCAAAATTAATATTTGATAGCTGGAGAAATAATTTTAATGGTGAACAAAAGGTGATAATTGTTTTCAACTTGATATAAATTACAAGAGGCTTCGAGACGCAGAGATAGAACGAATTACAAGTGTGAACAAAATAAGCATGGAAACAAATTGAAATCAAAAATTTTCAACTTGAAATGTAGGTTAGGAGGTGTGAATATAGATTACAAGAGGCACTGAAACGAAAAATTACACAGGATAAGAATATAATTGTAAAATGGTTATTCTAAACGGATTACAAGGGTGATTAGGAGGAGCATGGAAACAAACTTAAAATAACTGATTTTATAACTGAAAAAATAGGATGAATTGAGTGAAGGCAAAGAGAGAGAATTACACACATACAAAACAAAACAAACTGAAGGATAAGGGAACATATCGAACTAGGTCCATGGTAGTTGTAGAGGCTGGACTAGTTTCTTTTGAACGAATAGCTCCGGCTTTTCAATGCATATGGCGACAGCTTCTGCAGTGCAAAGAATTCGGAAACACACTGTCTTTGGTAGATTTTTGTTCACTTTGTAAATGACTTTATATAATGAGTCAGTTGAGTTTCTGTGACAGGCATTGACGAGATGTTCAGTTATTGCGCTTCTGATTTTTATGCTACTTATCATTAGTAAGTAGCATGAATTATACATCATTATGTTTACGCGTTGAAAATCCGAATTTTGTTCACTATTCTCAACAAAGTTGGGATGCTCAACACTAATGTTCAATCATTTCGCCTATAGGCTTCAGAAACTTGGAGTTCGCGTCAAGACAAGCATTTCGAACAGACTGCAGACTTTTATCAGCAGCTGCCTTCGCCATCTCCATACTAAATACCATTGCCTAGCCGACATTAAAGGATTAGCAACAAGGGATTCTGGGTACCGGACAATCAAGAACCTATTGCTCAACATCTATTCTGAAGGAAGCGATGATGGATCGGACACACGCTAAGGAGACCTGAGTGAGAAACGATGCGTTGAACGCAGATCCCAGGGTTAAGTGAAGGAAATCGTATAAGGAAACTAAAGCCTATGGACATTCCTATAGCCACCTAAAGAGGACTCTAGAGAACAAGACAAGTTGGAGATGTGTTGTTGAAGCTCTATGTTTCACCACGAACCCAAAGGAATAATAATAATAGGAGAATGTTTCAAGCATAACCTTATCGCTGATAATCGTATTAAGAGGTCTCTCCACACAACTTTCCTTTTTTTAATCTAACATCTTATATATTTTCAAGATATACGTGTGTGCGGTGCTAATTCTGTGATTCTTAATACGGCTAAAATAAAGATGGCACTTAGGTGTACGAATCATTACTGAACCGTCAAATTCTGAGAATATAACAATGCGAAAAATATCCGCATAAACTAAAAATCTCCTTAATTTCAGATTATTCACTGTCTGACAATAAAATGATGAGTGTATATAAAGGGAGGCATGAGCCAATTTCGAGGTATAGTAATCTTAAATTATTTGAGTAATTACTAGAGAATGAGAAAAAAATAAACTGGTAGTTCAGATAAAAACATAATTAGACAGACATGATTTTCTTCACAGAACGGATTATAAATGATGGTGACCATGATAAAAAAGTTTTAATGTACTTCTTTTAGATACATAGCATCGGTCTAAATTTTCTGATCACTAATACTTGAGCAGTGCCGATGTACCTCAATCTCACCTGACGTTTGGTCGGATCACGTATAGAACTTTAAAGGATTTCTCAAAAGGGATTAAGTGTCCTGAGTACATGATATGTTCTGTTGTCGAACTATAGATACACTTCTGTTTTGCCTTTCCCAGATAGGATGGACAGTGTTGCATAAATGAGTCCTATAGACAAATGCATGGTATGGCCTGCATACTCAGCTCCACTGCAGCAAGTGAACAGGTGATTGCTGATATGGGCCAGTATAACAGCTTGTCCTTTACATGCTGACCGAATATCTGCTTGCAAATGATAGCTATTCTTAAGCTGGTAGCAAAGTATAATTTACTGAGAGATTCCGAAAGCTGTTTTGGGTGAATTTCTGCCTTGGTGTCATTTATAAATTCGATTTTCAACAGCAGACTTTACTTGAGGATAACCTAGACCTGTTCAGCAGCTTTCTTGTCTACGAATCTGCACGGGAAGCTATTTTCCACCAAAATTCTTTTCAGGTTGTGCAGCTTTGCGTCAACAGGTCATCCGGCATATAATGCTCAGATTCCTGAGAAAAGTGAATGGATAAGATGCATCTTTCGGCTCAGAGATACAGAACATTGAAAATTCATAAACTGTCCATCACACGTACCCTTTTTTGTAGGAAGATCTTTTCCGTTAGTTATCATCTTTTAGCACTTGAGCATGAAGGAAATGAAACTTTGAGTCAGATTCTACTTCTAGAGTAAGGATATTATTTAGATGAGTAAATTTTCGAGATTCCAATTTACATCATAAATAATGAAAGTATAGTCAATATATCTCTTAGAGACGTGAAGCCTGTTGATTTTTATCGATAAGATATTGGTTTCTAAGCCTGCCAAAAAATGTCTGCCAAGAGGAGTCCTACAGGAAAACCCATTTCTACGTCCTCTGTTTGCCTGTAGATTTCGTTGTTGCATCTGAGGTATACTTTGAAATTTTATCTGACTAAGAGCTTTTTCAGGTAGTGAACCGGTGTGCAAACGTCTATACTACAGGACTGAAAACAATCCAAGAAAAAAGATACTTCTGTCACTGGAACATTGGTGAAAACAGGATGACATTCCTAAGTGAATCGATGAAATCAGATGTGTCCCACAGATTGTATCTCGACAGCTTCTCCTTCACTCGCCCAAGAATCTCTGTTAGCCGCTTCGCGATTGAGTGATATAGAGAATTTAGCATATCCAAAGGTAATCAGTGTGGATCTAGATGAAACGACACCGAAATGTTTCCCTGTTGTTGTTCATCATTCACTTTTTATTAACCAAACCGTATGATGTTTGTCAATAAGTTTTCATGAAACTAGCTTAATAGGTGTCATGCAGTTAACTCTACAAATGGTTGACAAAATAGTAAGTACACATTGGAAGTTTATTCTTAACACAATGACAAGTCACACAGAGGTGTAAGCTAACGTCATTTCCGATACATTGCAAAAATACCTAGTTCGCTTATGACGGACTAACCAGTATCATATATCTGATCCTTTATTAATCAAGTTTTCAGTTCCATTACTCGCCATCACTCTGTATCGATGTAAGATTGTCGAAAGTAATCAGTAAGAAGCTGCAAAGCTAGACTTACACTTATGAGTACTCGCCAACGTAAAAAAAGGAAGACGAATTCTGTCTGGCATGATTTATCAGTGGCTGTTTGGTCGACAGACTCACCTCGTAAGATAAAGATCGTGGGTTAAATCCCCGGTAGGATCATAGGTGAAATGTACCAAAGTAGACAATTATTAAACTTCCTTCACGATGACAAGAATGGCTGAAGATGAGTGCAGAAGTGTTTATTCTGTAAAACGCCCATGAAATGTTGTAAATTACCTATAAATGTTTCATCTACTGATGATTCATTTAATTTCACACCTTATTATACTGAACTTTGAAAGTTTTATTCTAGGATTTATAAAGTGATGTGTACTCAACTAATAATAAGCTAACCTGTACATTCCTGTGTGAACGTTTCATTTTTTTACCGGATGCACTTCTCGTTTTAGAAACAGATTCCATAAAATAGTAATATGTCAGCCTCATAACTGTACATTTCTGCGCTCGATCCCTAACGGAATGGTGAGTATAGGTGTCTATAAATATGTTTGCATCGTTTACACTGTGTTCACTCACATCAAGAAAATCCAAGGGATTCATACCACATTATACATCAAAAGAGATTAAAATATATCAAATGGTAAAGAATAGTTATTACACAGAAATACACACCACCCTCTTCATTCACAACTCTCCCCTTGTATCATGGGAAGTGGTCCCGGTTGTTGTGAGTTGTGAGATGGTGGTTGTCCGAATCATGGGAAGTGGTCCCGGTTGTTGTGAGTTGTGAGATGGTGGTTGTCCGACTGGCGATGCGTTCATCTGGTGAGGAGGTGGATTCATCCCGTCTACATCGGGACCGAGAACTGGAATCATGGGAAGTGGTCCCGGTTGTTGTGAGTTGTGAGATGGTGGTTGTCCGACTGGCGATGCGTTCATCTGGTGAGGAGGTGGATTCATCCCGTCTACATCGGGACCGAGAACTGGAATCATGGGAAGTGGTCCCGGTTGTTGTGAGTTGTGAGATGGTGGTTGTCCGACTGGCGATGCGTTCATCTGGTGAGGAGGTGGATTCATCCCGTCTACATCGGGACCGAGAACTGGAATCATGGGAAGTGGTCCCGGTTGTTGTGAGTTGTGAGATAGTTGATGTCCAACTGTCTTTACCGTCTTGTTTTCAATGTTTGTTTGGGTTTGTTCATTTTTGTGGATTTCATTTTTTTCATTTTCGATTTTTTGGTGTGTTTCTGATGTGCTGATTGGTTTTTGAAATTGCTCTTGATATATATTTGACGACTCTTTGCTTTCATTAGTTCCACTTATTGGTTGATATATCTGCTGAGCATATTGTATTTGTGTTTGTACACGCTTTGGTTTTATATTTTGATTACTTGCATGTTGTGTTTGAACTGCAAGTTGTTTTTGGTTTGGTCCTTGTATTTGTAATATAAATTGGTGTTGTGTTGAATTGTTATGTTCATCTAAATTCTTATTACTCTTACCTTCCATTTCTGAAGTTTCTATTTGAGATGGTTGGTTATGTGAAATTTCTCGTTGTATAGTATGCTGTAATTGTTCCAATGACTTATCAAGTATCAAAAAAGGCATTTGAAATTGACTGACTGCATCATCATCATCATCACTGCTTGGCTTTGATGCTGCTATACTCTCCACGTCTTTTTTATTCGGTATGTTATTCATATTATTTTGACTTGAATTATTTTCTATAGATAAAGGTATTGGTAGACTGACTGAATTATTATATGTGTACATTCCACCATTAACTGACTGTCCATCAATGGATGCTGCAAGTGTAATGCTAAGAAATAGGTGAGTTGTCAACAGGATAGATATTGTTTTCATCACTGTATGTATCTGTTTCTTTGAATCTCTTTTCAGATTGTTATGAAGCTGTTGTGCAATTAAGATATTAACAGTGTGAAATGATACGGAGAATATATATATATACATATAATCTTTTAAATGTTTGTCTCTGATCATTCAGACTCTGTATGGTTTTTGGATTTAATTTCTTTTATTGAACTAATTGCGTCATACAAGAATAGTATTCATAATAACTGTGTTCTGAATATAAGAAGTTGAATGACACAGTTGTGCGGATTAAGTCATTTGCTCACTTTTTACATGCTGGCATTAATCTCTCTAGTGACCCGTTTGTTTCACAGGTTAAAGGATTAAAGATTAATTTAGTGAACTTTCTGGACCAGTTGCGGTGTTAGTCACGTATGATTTGACTTTTTTTTGTCAACAGAAAACTATATAAAGTGTCAGTATCATTCAGAACCAAGAAGTATAAGACAGAGGAATAACAACACGGTCACCTTGTAACCTGGAGGTTCTTGGTTCTATGCCTGATGTGATCACGGAGATGTACTGGTGAGAAGATTCAAGCTAAAACGGAAAAGATGTCAATAATCGCTTATGAACTTGATTTTAATATTATTCATTGAAGGTTTCAGATTTCCAGTTGTCTGGCTTCATTGGACGGAAATGAATGTGGTCTCCTCGTGCTTATCAACTCTTAATGATAACGCTTCCATGATGCTTTGCACTAAACTCATCACCAGGATGTGCTGAGAGAATGAACCTTTGTGCATTTTATAGGATGAGTTCGGGTTTTAGTGGGTACACTGCCACTCATTGGAATGCAGGGACATCCAGCTGACAAGTTCAAAATGCGACAAAACGCCAATCCTGCACTCCATTGTTAACTGTGAATGGTCGAATATATTTACTTCGGAATAAACGGTAATGTTAAACATTTTTAAGGCTTTATAAGCGAATACTGTTTAGATTAAATGATCACAAAGTTTGAATAGTAAGCATCAACGAAAAAATCTGTGGTCATATTCATCGAAGAGATTTCTAAATTGCCCAATAACTGTTGATCATATTTTTTAACCTAATTAGAGAGAGATAAGTGATTGTGTTATATTATGTTTGTAAGCACTCTGTCTCAACCATTTACGACTATCTAACACCAAACTGCCTTTAAAGTGAATGAATAAAATAATGTGACTATGTAAGTGGTGCTTATTAACAGACTCGTGTACATGATCTGATCATTCCTACAAGAAATCCTCTACAATACAAAAAAATGTCTGTGAACTAAACAGACACATTACTCTATTGGTCGACATTTCTAAGGAATCAGGATAGTGACATTTTGATTAATAATGGTTGGTGATTGAACTTGAAATGGAAATGTGGACCAGAGGTCTGTGAATTATTATTTGTCCTGCTGTGTATCAGCTGGAACATGATAGTCCGTTGATGTATTGAATCCTATTACGATTTAGATTTTAATTTCACCTCTAATCATCACTCATTACACCATTAGATCTACTAACCCAGTGCCATCTCAGGTTGTCTCACCATCAATTCTAATAAGCCCCGGTAACATTAATCTACTGAATGCCTGTGATCAACTCCAACTATCTACAACTATAATGAATTCAATGGATACGACCTGGTGTAATTAAAATCCCATAAGATTACTGTTAATTCCTTTCTTACCTATCCTTTGTTACTGTCTCCTTTGTGTCCATTTTCATGCTTTTTTTTCAAATCGTAGAAAATACCCATTGGAACATTAGACTGAAAAGAACACGAAGTTCAGCAAAGATGGCGATCTTTTCGGCGATTTCATTCTCAAAACCAGCTGTACAATCGCATTTATATAGATTAGTTTACATGGATACAATTATTATTTATTTAATTCCACATAATAACGAAGGTGATAATAATTTTCAACTTGATATGAAAGTTTGAAGGTACTAATATAGATTACAAGGGGCTTAGAGACAAGATTACATAGGATTAGAAAATAGTTACAACGTATGCAAAATTAATATTTGATAGCTGGAGAAATAATTTTAAAGGTGAACAAAAGGTGATAATTGTTTTCAACTTGATATAAATTACAAGAGGCTTCGAGACGCAGAGATAGAACGAATTACAAGTGTGAACAAAATAAGCATGGAAACAAATTGAAATCAAAAATTTTCAACTTGAAATGTAGGTTAGGAGGTGTGAATATAGATTACAAGAGGCACTGAAACGAAAAATTACACAGGATAAGAATATAATTGTAAAATGGTTATTCTAAACGGATTACAAGGGTGATTAGGAGGAGCATGGAAACAAACTTAAAATAACTGATTTTATAACTGAAAAAATAGGATGAATTGAGTGAAGGCAAAGAGAGAGAATTACACACATACAAAACAAAACAAACTGAAGGATAAGGGAACATATCAAACTAGGTCCATGGTAGTTGTAGAGGCTGGACTAGTTTCTTTTGAACGCATAGCTCCGGCTTTTCAATGCATATGGCGAGAGCTTCTGCAGTACAAAGAATTCGGAAACACACTGTCTTTGGTAGATTTTTGTTCACTTTGTAAATGACTTTATATAATGAGTCAGTTGAGTTTCTGTGACAGGCATTGACGAGATGTTCAGTTATTGCGCTTCTGATTTTTATGCTACTTATCATTAGTAAGTAGCATGAATTATACATCATTATGTTTACGCGTTGAAAATCCGAATTTTGTTCACTATTCTCAACAAAGTTGGGATGCTCAACACTAATGTTCAATCATTTCGCCTATAGGCTTCAGAAACTTGGAGTTCGCGTCAAGACAAGCATTTCGAACAGACTGCAGACTTTTATCAGCAGCTGCCTTCGCCATCTCCATACTAAATACCATTGCCTAGCCGACATTAAAGGATTAGCAACAAGGGATTCTGGGTACCGGACAATCAAGAACCTATTGCTCAACATCTATTCTGAAGGAAGCGATGATGGATCGGACACACGCTAAGGAGACCTGAGTGAGAAACGATGCGTTGAACGCAGATCCCAGGGTTAAGTGAAGGAAATCGTATAAGGAAACTAAAGCCTATGGACATTCCTATAGCCACCTAAAGAGGACTCTAGAGAACAAGACAAGTTGGAGATGTGTTGTTGAAGCTCTATGTTTCACCACGAACCCAAAGGAATAATAATAATAGGAGAATGTTTCAAGCATAACCTTATCGCTGATAATCGTATTAAGAGGTCTCTCCACACAACTTTCCTTTTTTTAATCTAACATCTTATATATTTTCAAGATATACGTGTGTGCGGTGCTAATTCTGTGATTCTTAATACGGCTAAAATAAAGATGGCACTTAGGTGTACGAATCATTACTGAACCGTCAAATTCTGAGAATATAACAATGCGAAAAATATCCGCATAAACTAAAAATCTCCTTAATTTCAGATTATTCACTGTCTGACAATAAAATGATGAGTGTATATAAAGGGAGGCATGAGCCAATTTCGAGGTATAGTAATCTTAAATTATTTGAGTAATTACTAGAGAATGAGAAAAAAATAAACTGGTAGTTCAGATAAAAACATAATTAGACAGACATGATTTTCTTCACAGAACGGATTATAAATGATGGTGACCATGATAAAAAAGTTTTAATGTACTTCTTTTAGATACATAGCATCGGTCTAAATTTTCTGATCACTAATACTTGAGCAGTGCCGATGTACCTCAATCTCACCTGACGTTTGGTCGGATCACGTATAGAACTTTAAAGGATTTCTCAAAAGGGATTAAGTGTCCTGAGTACATGATATGTTCTGTTGTCGAACTATAGATACACTTCTGTTTTGCCTTTCCCAGATAGGATGGACAGTGTTGCATAAATGAGTCCTATAGACAAATGCATGGTATGGCCTGCATACTCAGCTCCACTGCAGCAAGTGAACAGGTGATTGCTGATATGGGCCAGTATAACAGCTTGTCCTTTACATGCTGACCGAATATCTGCTTGCAAATGATAGCTATTCTTAAGCTGGTAGCAAAGTATAATTTACTGAGAGATTCCGAAAGCTGTTTTGGGTGAATTTCTGCCTTGGCGTCATTTATAAATTCGATTTTCAACAGCAGACTTTACTTGAGGATAACCTAGACCTGTTCAGCAGCTTTCTTGTCTACGAATCTGCACGGGAAGCTATTTTCCACCAAAATTCTTTTCAGGTTGTGCAGCTTTGCGTCAACAGGTCATCCGGCATATAATGCTCAGATTCCTGAGAAAAGTGAATGGATAAGATGCATCTTTCGGCTCAGAGATACAGAACATTGAAAATTCATAAACTGTCCATCACACGTACCCTTTTTTGTAGGAAGATCTTTTCCGTTAGTTATCATCTTTTAGCACTTGAGCATGAAGGAAATGAAACTTTGAGTCAGATTCTACTTCTAGAGTAAGGATATTATTTAGATGAGTAAATTTTCGAGATTCCAATTTACATCATAAATAATGAAAGTATAGTCAATATATCTCTTAGAGACGTGAAGCCTGTTGATTTTTATCGATAAGATATTGGTTTCTAAGCCTGCCAAAAAATGTCTGCCAAGAGGAGTCCTACAGGAAAACCCATTTCTACGTCCTCTGTTTGCCTGTAGATTTCGTTGTTGCATCTGAGGTATACTTTGAAATTTTATCTGACTAAGAGCTTTTTCAGGTAGTGAACCGGTGTGCAAACGTCTATACTACAGGACTGAAAACAATCCAAGAAAAAAGATACTTCTGTCACTGGAACATTGGTGAAAACAGGATGACATTCCTAAGTGAATCGATGAAATCAGATGTGTCCCACAGATTGTATCTCGACAGCTTCTCCTTCACTCGCCCAAGAATCTCTGTTAGCCGCTTCGCGATTGAGTGATATAGAGAATTTAGCATATCCAAAGGTAATCAGTGTGGATCTAGATGAAACGACACCGAAATGTTTCCCTGTTGTTGTTCATCATTCACTTTTTATTAACCAAACCGTATGATGTTTGTCAATAAGTTTTCATGAAACTAGCTTAATAGGTGTCATGCAGTTAACTCTACAAATGGTTGACAAAATAGTAAGTACACATTGGAAGTTTATTCTTAACACAATGACAAGTCACACAGAGGTGTAAGCTAACGTCATTTCCGATACATTGCAAAAATACCTAGTTCGCTTATGACGGACTAACCAGTATCATATATCTGATCCTTTATTAATCAAGTTTTCAGTTCCATTACTCGCCATCACTCTGTATCGATGTAAGATTGTCGAAAGTAATCAGTAAGAAGCTGCAAAGCTAGACTTACACTTATGAGTACTCGCCAACGTAAAAAAAGGAAGACGAATTCTGTCTGGCATGATTTATCAGTGGCTGTTTGGTCGACAGACTCACCTCGTAAGATAAAGATCGTGGGTTAAATCCCCGGTAGGATCATAGGTGAAATGTACCAAAGTAGACAATTATTAAACTTCCTTCACGATGACAAGAATGGCTGAAGATGAGTGCAGAAGTGTTTATTCTGTAAAACGCCCATGAAATGTTGTAAATTACCTATAAATGTTTCATCTACTGATGATTCATTTAATTTCACACCTTATTATACTGAACTTTGAAAGTTTTATTCTAGGATTTATAAAGTGATGTGTACTCAACTAATAATAAGCTAACCTGTACATTCCTGTGTGAACGTTTCATTTTTTTACCGGATGCACTTCTCGTTTTAGAAACAGATTCCATAAAATAGTAATATGTCAGCCTCATAACTGTACATTTCTGCGCTCGATCCCTAACGGAATGGTGAGTATAGGTGTCTATAAATATGTTTGCATCGTTTACACTGTGTTCACTCACATCAAGAAAATCCAAGGGATTCATACCACATTATACATCAAAAGAGATTAAAATATATCAAATGGTAAAGAATAGTTATTACACAGAAATACACACCACCCTCTTCATTCACAACTCTCCCCTTGTATCATGGGAAGTGGTCCCGGTTGTTGTGAGTTGTGAGATGGTGGTTGTCCGACTGGCGATGCGTTCATCTGGTGAGGAGGTGGATTCATCCCGTCTACATCGGGACCGAGAACTGGAATCATGGGAAGTGGTCCCGGTTGTTGTGAGTTGTGAGATGGTGGTTGTCCGACTGGCGATGCGTTCATCTGGTGAGGAGGTGGATTCATCCCGTCTACATCGGGACCGAGAACTGGAATCATGGGAAGTGGTCCCGGTTGTTGTGAGTTGTGAGATGGTGGTTGTCCGACTGGCGATGCGTTCATCTGGTGAGGAGGTGGATTCATCCCGTCTACATCGGGACCGAGAACTGGAATCATGGGAAGTGGTCCCGGTTGTTGTGAGTTGTGAGATAGTTGATGTCCAACTGTCTTTATCGTCTTGTTTTCAATGTTTGTTTGGGTTTGTTCATTTTTGTGGATTTCATTTTTTTCATTTTCGATTTTTTGGTGTGTTTCTGATGTGCTGATTGGTTTTTGAAATTGCTCTTGATATATATTTGACGACTCTTTGCTTTCATTAGTTCCACTTATTGGTTGATATATCTGCTGAGCATATTGTATTTGTGTTTGTACACGCTTTGGTTTTATATTTTGATTACTTGCATGTTGTGTTTGAACTGCAAGTTGTTTTTGGTTTGGTCCTTGTATTTGTAATATAAATTGGTGTTGTGTTGAATTGTTATGTTCATCTAAATTCTTATTACTCTTACCTTCCATTTCTGAAGTTTCTATTTGAGATGGTTGGTTATGTGAAATTTCTCGTTGTATAGTATGCTGTAATTGTTCCAATGACTTATCAAGTATCAAAAAAGGCATTTGAAATTGACTGACTGCATCATCATCATCATCACTGCTTGGCTTTGATGCTGCTATACTCTCCACGTCTTTTTTATTCGGTATGTTATTCATATTATTTTGACTTGAATTATTTTCTATAGATAAAGGTATTGGTAGACTGACTGAATTATTATATGTGTACATTCCACCATTAACTGACTGTCCATCAATGGATGCTGCAAGTGTAATGCTAAGAAATAGGTGAGTTGTCAACAGGATAGATATTGTTTTCATCACTGTATGTATCTGTTTCTTTGAATCTCTTTTCAGATTGTTATGAAGCTGTTGTGCAATTAAGATATTAACAGTGTGAAATGATACGGAGAATATATATATATACATATAATCTTTTAAATGTTTGTCTCTGATCATTCAGACTCTGTATGGTTTTTGGATTTAATTTCTTTTATTGAACTAATTGCGTCATACAAGAATAGTATTCATAATAACTGTGTTCTGAATATAAGAAGTTGAATGACACAGTTGTGCGGATTAAGTCATTTGCTCACTTTTTACATGCTGGCATTAATCTCTCTAGTGACCCGTTTGTTTCACAGGTTAAAGGATTAAAGATTAATTTAGTGAACTTTCTGGACCAGTTGCGGTGTTAGTCACGTATGATTTGACTTTTTTTTGTCAACAGAAAACTATATAAAGTGTCAGTATCATTCAGAACCAAGAAGTATAAGACAGAGGAATAACAACACGGTCACCTTGTAACCTGGAGGTTCTTGGTTCTATGCCTGATGTGATCACGGAGATGTACTGGTGAGAAGATTCAAGCTAAAACGGAAAAGATGTCAATAATCGCTTATGAACTTGATTTTAATATTATTCATTGAAGGTTTCAGATTTCCAGTTGTCTGGCTTCATTGGACGGAAATGAATGTGGTCTCCTCGTGCTTATCAACTCTTAATGATAACGCTTCCATGATGCTTTGCACTAAACTCATCACCAGGATGTGCTGAGAGAATGAACCTTTGTGCATTTTATAGGATGAGTTCGGGTTTTAGTGGGTACACTGCCACTCATTGGAATGCAGGGACATCCAGCTGACAAGTTCAAAATGCGACAAAACGCCAATCCTGCACTCCATTGTTAACTGTGAATGGTCGAATATATTTACTTCGGAATAAACGGTAATGTTAAACATTTTTAAGGCTTTATAAGCGAATACTGTTTAGATTAAATGATCACAAAGTTTGAATAGTAAGCATCAACGAAAAAATCTGTGGTCATATTCATCGAAGAGATTTCTAAATTGCCCAATAACTGTTGATCATATTTTTTAACCTAATTAGAGAGAGATAAGTGATTGTGTTATATTATGTTTGTAAGCACTCTGTCTCAACCATTTACGACTATCTAACACCAAACTGCCTTTAAAGTGAATGAATAAAATAATGTGACTATGTAAGTGGTGCTTATTAACAGACTCGTGTACATGATCTGATCATTCCTACAAGAAATCCTCTACAATACAAAAAAATGTCTGTGAACTAAACAGACACATTACTCTATTGGTCGACATTTCTAAGGAATCAGGATAGTGACATTTTGATTAATAATGGTTGGTGATTGAACTTGAAATGGAAATGTGGACCAGAGGTCTGTGAATTATTATTTGTCCTGCTGTGTATCAGCTGGAACATGATAGTCCGTTGATGTATTGAATCCTATTACGATTTAGATTTTAATTTCACCTCTAATCATCACTCATTACACCATTAGATCTACTAACCCAGTGCCATCTCAGGTTGTCTCACCATCAATTCTAATAAGCCCCGGTAACATTAATCTACTGAATGCCTGTGATCAACTCCAACTATCTACAACTATAATGAATTCAATGGATACGACCTGGTGTAATTAAAATCCCATAAGATTACTGTTAATTCCTTTCTTACCTATCCTTTGTTACTGTCTCCTTTGTGTCCATTTTCATGCTTTTTTTTCAAATCGTAGAAAATACCCATTGGAACATTAGACTGAAAAGAACACGAAGTTCAGCAAAGATGGCGATCTTTTCGGCGATTTCATTCTCAAAACCAGATGTACAATCGCATTTATATAGATTAGTTTACATGGATACAATTATTATTTATTTAATTCCACATAATAACGAAGGTGATAATAATTTTCAACTTGATATGAAAGTTTGAAGGTACTAATATAGATTACAAGGGGCTTAGAGACAAGATTACATAGGATTAGAAAATAGTTACAACGTATGCAAAATTAATATTTGATAGCTGGAGAAATAATTTTAAAGGTGAACAAAAGGTGATAATTGTTTTCAACTTGATATAAATTACAAGAGGCTTCGAGACGCAGAGATAGAACGAATTACAAGTGTGAACAAAATAAGCATGGAAACAAATTGAAATCAAAAATTTTCAACTTGAAATGTAGGTTAGGAGGTGTGAATATAGATTACAAGAGGCACTGAAACGAAAAATTACACAGGATAAGAATATAATTGTAAAATGGTTATTCTAAACGGATTACAAGGGTGATTAGGAGGAGCATGGAAACAAACTTAAAATAACTGATTTTATAACTGAAAAAATAGGATGAATTGAGTGAAGGCAAAGAGAGAGAATTACACACATACAAAACAAAACAAACTGAAGGATAAGGGAACATATCAAACTAGGTCCATGGTAGTTGTAGAGGCTGGACTAGTTTCTTTTGAACGCATAGCTCCGGCTTTTCAATGCATATGGCGAGAGCTTCTGCAGTACAAAGAATTCGGAAACACACTGTCTTTGGTAGATTTTTGTTCACTTTGTAAATGACTTTATATAATGAGTCAGTTGAGTTTCTGTGACAGGCATTGACGAGATGTTCAGTTATTGCGCTTCTGATTTTTATGCTACTTATCATTAGTAAGTAGCATGAATTATACATCATTATGTTTACGCGTTGAAAATCCGAATTTTGTTCACTATTCTCAACAAAGTTGGGATGCTCAACACTAATGTTCAATCATTTCGCCTATAGGCTTCAGAAACTTGGAGTTCGCGTCAAGACAAGCATTTCGAACAGACTGCAGACTTTTATCAGCAGCTGCCTTCGCCATCTCCATACTAAATACCATTGCCTAGCCGACATTAAAGGATTAGCAACAAGGGATTCTGGGTACCGGACAATCAAGAACCTATTGCTCAACATCTATTCTGAAGGAAGCGATGATGGATCGGACACACGCTAAGGAGACCTGAGTGAGAAACGATGCGTTGAACGCAGATCCCAGGGTTAAGTGAAGGAAATCGTATAAGGAAACTAAAGCCTATGGACATTCCTATAGCCACCTAAAGAGGACTCTAGAGAACAAGACAAGTTGGAGATGTGTTGTTGAAGCTCTATGTTTCACCACGAACCCAAAGGAATAATAATAATAGGAGAATGTTTCAAGCATAACCTTATCGCTGATAATCGTATTAAGAGGTCTCTCCACACAACTTTCCTTTTTTTAATCTAACATCTTATATATTTTCAAGATATACGTGTGTGTGGTGCTAATTCTGTGATTCTTAATACGGCTAAAATAAAGATGGCACTTAGGTGTACGAATCATTACTGAACCGTCAAATTCTGAGAATATAACAATGCGAAAAATATCCGCATAAACTAAAAATCTCCTTAATTTCAGATTATTCACTGTCTGACAATAAAATGATGAGTGTATATAAAGGGAGGCATGAGCCAATTTCGAGGTATAGTAATCTTAAATTATTTGAGTAATTACTAGAGAATGAGAAAAAAATAAACTGGTAGTTCAGATAAAAACATAATTAGACAGACATGATTTTCTTCACAGAACGGATTATAAATGATGGTGACCATGATAAAAAAGTTTTAATGTACTTCTTTTAGATACATAGCATCGGTCTAAATTTTCTGATCACTAATACTTGAGCAGTGCCGATGTACCTCAATCTCACCTGACGTTTGGTCGGATCACGTATAGAACTTTAAAGGATTTCTCAAAAGGGATTAAGTGTCCTGAGTACATGATATGTTCTGTTGTCGAACTATAGATACACTTCTGTTTTGCCTTTCCCAGATAGGATGGACAGTGTTGCATAAATGAGTCCTATAGACAAATGCATGGTATGGCCTGCATACTCAGCTCCACTGCAGCAAGTGAACAGGTGATTGCTGATATGGGCCAGTATAACAGCTTGTCCTTTACATGCTGACCGAATATCTGCTTGCAAATGATAGCTATTCTTAAGCTGGTAGCAAAGTATAATTTACTGAGAGATTCCGAAAGCTGTTTTGGGTGAATTTCTGCCTTGGCGTCATTTATAAATTCGATTTTCAACAGCAGACTTTACTTGAGGATAACCTAGACCTGTTCAGCAGCTTTCTTGTCTACGAATCTGCACGGGAAGCTATTTTCCACCAAAATTCTTTTCAGGTTGTGCAGCTTTGCGTCAACAGGTCATCCGGCATATAATGCTCAGATTCCTGAGAAAAGTGAATGGATAAGATGCATCTTTCGGCTCAGAGATACAGAACATTGAAAATTCATAAACTGTCCATCACACGTACCCTTTTTTGTAGGAAGATCTTTTCCGTTAGTTATCATCTTTTAGCACTTGAGCATGAAGGAAATGAAACTTTGAGTCAGATTCTACTTCTAGAGTAAGGATATTATTTAGATGAGTAAATTTTCGAGATTCCAATTTACATCATAAATAATGAAAGTATAGTCAATATATCTCTTAGAGACGTGAAGCCTGTTGATTTTTATCGATAAGATATTGGTTTCTAAGCCTGCCAAAAAATGTCTGCCAAGAGGAGTCCTACAGGAAAACCCATTTCTACGTCCTCTGTTTGCCTGTAGATTTCGTTGTTGCATCTGAGGTATACTTTGAAATTTTATCTGACTAAGAGCTTTTTCAGGTAGTGAACCGGTGTGCAAACGTCTATACTACAGGACTGAAAACAATCCAAGAAAAAAGATACTTCTGTCACTGGAACATTGGTGAAAACAGGATGACATTCCTAAGTGAATCGATGAAATCAGATGTGTCCCACAGATTGTATCTCGACAGCTTCTCCTTCACTCGCCCAAGAATCTCTGTTAGCCGCTTCGCGATTGAGTGATATAGAGAATTTAGCATATCCAAAGGTAATCAGTGTGGATCTAGATGAAACGACACCGAAATGTTTCCCTGTTGTTGTTCATCATTCACTTTTTATTAACCAAACCGTATGATGTTTGTCAATAAGTTTTCATGAAACTAGCTTAATAGGTGTCATGCAGTTAACTCTACAAATGGTTGACAAAATAGTAAGTA